AAGTAATTTTAACTTTATTTAAAAAAAAAAATTACCTCTCAAATGGATACATCCATCGAAATTGGACGGGACCTGCAACTTTGGCCTCATAAGGCAAATGAACTAAGAGATGCTCCATCGAATCAAAAAACAATGGAGGAAATATCATTTCTAAGTTGCAAAGAATAATTGGAATATCTCTCTCCAGTTTCTCCATGTGTGATGCCTTTAACACTGTCGAGCAAATATCATGCAGGAAATTACTTAACTCTGTAATGGCGCCCCATACAAAGTTCGGTAGAACTTCCTTGAAAGCTATTGGAATTAGTCTTTCCATCAATATGTGACAATCATGACTCTTCAAACCTGTCAACTTGCATTAATTCAAATCAACACATCTCCCGAGGTTTGAAGCATATCCATCAGGAAACCGCACAGATTTCAACCATTGACAAACAACTCGCCTCTGCTCCCTATCCAATGTATAAACTGCTTTTGGTTTTGGTCCCCTGCTGCTTGCATCCACATCTAGTGTTGGCTGATCACAAATATCTCTCATATCTTTTCTTGCGTTCAAATTGTCTTTTGTTTTTTCGGTGACATCCATCACAGTATTTATGACATTGTCGAAAATATTCTTTTCTATGCGCATGATGTCAAGATTATGATGAATAAGATGGGCCTTCCAATATGGTAGATCCCAAAATATACTGCGTTTTGTCCACTTATGTGTACTTCCGTACGCAAAAGTCGTACCGTGAGGGTTTTGAACAACAGTTGGAAAGTCCTGCACCCGCTCCCAAATTTGATCGCCGGTCAACCTCAATGGTGGACGTGTTCTTTCAGTCCTATTCTTGATGAACTCTTTTTTATTCCTTCTGAATGTATGATTTATTGGTAAAAATTGTCTGTGACAGTCAAAATAGCTGGGCTTCTTTCCATGTTTTAATCTAAATGACTTTGATCTCTCCAAACATATCGGACATCCTAAGATCCCAGCTGTACTCCATCCAGATAACATTCCGTAAGCTGGAAAGTCATTTATCGTCCAAAAAAGAGCAGCCTTCATTACAAATGTTTGATAAGTAAAAACATCATATGTAAGGACACCTTCCTCCCATAGCCGTTGTAACTGTTCAATCAATGGTTGCATATATATGTAAGGACACCTTCCTCCCATAGCCGTTGTAACTCTTCAATCAATGGTTGCATATAAACATCTATTAACTTTTTCGGATTTTGCTGGCCAGTCACGATCAATGTCAAAAACATATAAGGTGTCTTCATGCACATACCAGGTGGAAGATTGTACGGCATTAAGATAACTGGCCAACATGAATAACTTTTTCCTGATTTCCCAAATGGGGCAATCCATCAGCACAGAGACCTAACCTGATGTTTCGAGGCTCTATCGCAAACTCAGGGTACATTCTATCAAAATGTTTCCATGCCTCTGCATTTGAAGGATTACACATTAGATCCTCTTCTGTTTCATGATTTGCATGCCAAGTCATGTGTTCAGCAGTGGCTTGAGACGCATAAAGCTTTTGTAATCTGGGGATTAAGGGCAGATAAAACATTTGCTTGCATGGTCTATGCTTCTTATTACGACCCTGCCTTCTGTTAATCTTGTACCTAGGTTGGCTACAGAATTTGCAAGATTTTGTATTTTCATCATCTCTCCAATATAACATACAACCCCTACTACATACATCAATCCTTACAACCGGAAGACCTAAGTTATCCACTAGCTTTTTCATATCGTAAAAATCACTTGGCATGCTGTTATCACGAGGCATTGTTTCCCGCATTACTTCAACAAAAGAGTTGAAGCAATCTTGCGACACATTATGCTCTGCCTTGATATTTAACAGTCTTGCTGTCACTGATAACTTAGCGTGGTTGTCACAACATGGCCATAAAAGTTCATCTGCTGCTTTCAACACTTCCCAGAAATGATTAGATGAAAAAGCTCTATTACACACATTCTCATCAAAATCCATTACTCCTATCTCTTTCAATTGTGATGCATGACTAGTACCCACTTGTTCAGGTATAGGAGTAAAATTAGTACTTGCATGGTTCGAATCTGAAACAAAATTCTGACCAGCTGCATCAATCACCATCCTCTCGTATGGGTTCAATTGGTCATAATAGCTACATTCTTCCCTAACTAAAAATTGGTCACTTCTTCGATATCCTTCATCAAATATAAATTGTTCACCATGGCAAGTCCAATTATAATAATTCGGAGTAAACACAAATCTACAAAGATGTTCTCTAACTATATCACACACATGAAATTTACCATTACTGCACTTTCTACACGGACATCTTAACTTATTTCCATCCATGAACTCATATTTACTACTAGCAAAGTCTAAAAATAGTTCCAACCTAGTACGAAACTCATCGGTCAATCCTCGACATCCAGGTAAGTTCTTATTATACATCCAAGCCCTGTCTCTTTGCATTGTGTCTGTATGAAAATAAAAAAATCTCGTAAAATATTTAAAATATCATATCTACTATTGTTAATTAAAACCATAAAATTATGAAAATTAAAATTTTGTTTTTCAAGCAACAATTACTTTGAAATTTTAAAAATTGAAAAAATTACCATGTAAAGAAGACTTACCCAGATATTTAACTGAAATCTTGGTAGCAGAAAGTTGTCAATTTGAAGAGAATTGCAACGTTCACTTAGATTGCGAGACTTTCAATTGGACACGTACCTAAATAAAAGCAAAATCACTTAACATTCATTTTTAAATAATTTTTTATTTTTTATTTTTTGATTTAAAAAAAATTTCTTATATTTTTCTCTGGTCGCCGACGAGGCCGAGCGGCCTGGCCATGGCCGCCCGGTCGACCCTCGCCTTCAGGGCGACGGCGAGGTCGACCGAGGCGGCCCCGGCGAGGCCGCTCGGCCTCGCCCAGTATCTCGGAGGAGGCCGAGCAACACGGCCATGGCCGCCGGTCGACCTCGCCGTCGCCTAGATCTCGGGCGACGGCGAGGTCGACCGCCATGGGGGGAGGCCGCTCGGCCTCCCCCCATGGCCGGTGAGGTCTCGTCGGTGGCCGGTGGCCGGTCTGGCCTCTGGCCACCAATTTACAGCAAAAAAAGAAAAAAAAAGTCAATAAAAAAAGTTGTTCGCATCTAGTGATGAATACAAAGGACAGGACCGTATTAGTCGCATGTTTAGTCACGAAATTAGCTACGATACTTACCGGTGGAAAAGTTTTACCGAGATTGATTTCTGCGCGCATGAATTATTGAGAGAAACGAAAGAGGGAGAAGGCAGGAGAAAAGTGGGCGACGTGAGGAATCACTACTGAGAGAGAAAAATTGACGGGTGGGGTACATATGACGAAATTAATTTTCCGTCACAAATTAGCGACGAATCCATTTTCGTCGCAAAATCCATCGCAAATTGCGACGGATAAAATATTCGTCGCTACTTTCGTCGCACAAGGGTACTTTTCGTTGAACAAAATTGCGACGGAAAATGAATCCGTCGCAAAATTCATCGCAAATTTGCGACGGAAAAATAATTCCGTCGCAAATTTGAGATGAAATTTGCGACAGATTAATTTTCCGTCGCAATTTTGGTTTTCCGTCGCAAAATTCGTCGCAAATTTGCGACGGATTATTTTCCGTCACAAATGCCGTCGCAAATTTGCGACGGATTTCTAAATCCGTCGCAAAGTTTGTCGCAAATTAGCGACGAAAAATTTCCCGTCGCAAAAATCATGTTTTTTTTGTAGTGTTAAAGTGAGTAATATCTAGAGTGAATTAGATTAGAGAGTGTCACAACGAACCTAGAAAAAAAATCAATTTCATTTTCTTTTCCAATAAAAAAAGATGTAACTTGAGTGAAACGTTTTCGGACGGTCTGGTCCTTCGTTAGGCCGTGTTGCATAAAATCGTATGATTCAAATTGAATCTATCAGAAGTATTCCTCTGTTTGCAATAATTTGATGGAAAATTCAAAGCTATAAGCATCACCAAAATTACTTCCATCCCCATCTCTGTCTCTCTCTGCAACGACATCCCGGGATATATATGTTGACTTTTCTCCTTCCAGCCTCCCCGCGCTGGAGTTAAGGAAGCGTGCAACTTCCGCAATTGACTTTGGTTAATCAACGTCGTACTAGGGCAAATGCTACTTTCCATCCTCACCGTCCATCTTACTCGTCTTTACACCTGGATATTGATGGCCCAACTGACCCCAACTCCTTTCGATTTAACGTTATTTAGTGGACTTTAGGTTCCTTAACTTTAAGGAAAATCTCACGTCGGTTTGTCTTGACTTGTAAAGATCTCTTCTGATAAAAAAAAACTCTATGTTCCCACAAGTTACCCTATTTATATGATAACATCCAAGACTTCTCTCACAAGGCAATTGCTTTTTTTTCGCATAAAATTAGGGAATAAATCGCAGAATTCCCAATGTGATATCCACCTTCTAACTCTTTTCTGGGTCGCATATTCCTTTCCTTCTTTTTTGCCATATTTTCCTTATTTTCTCCATATCTCAATATTCTGCATAAACAAGGAAAAATTAAGTAAATAAAAGGAAATCCAAATATATTCTAACAAATATTGCATTATTTATTGCCTAGAGTAGATAAAATAACTGTATTTTTATAGAGTTATCACTTTAATAGAATAAATCTATATTCCAATATTTCTCTACGATATTATTAGCAATGCACTCTGATGAACAGAATTTGTTATCTGTCAATTTCCAATTCATTAGATTACTACCGTGATTCCACTGAGCAGGACCTTGCTTGCAATTGTAGCCGTTGGATTACCACCAATTGAACATCTGACAAAGACAAATATTGGCAATCCAACGGGTATAATTATTAAGGATATAATAGCCTAACGCCATATTTTAGGTCGCTTTCGCTATCACAAAATTTTTTCTTTTGCAATTATTTACCAGATTTGGCGGTCTGGGTTAGATTCCATTAAATACAAGTAATAAATTTTTCGAATAGTTTCCACGACAAAAATATATAGGAGAGGAGACCATGGCTCTTCTTCTTCTTCCTATGATTCAGTGCCCGTGCAGCAAGACCAAAGGGATTCATCAACAAAAAGATGAGTTCCTGCTTCACCATCTCCCTCTCTCTCCTCTTCTTCTTCATAAATTTTCTTGGTACTGAATCAGCACCCACGTTTCTGCGGCATTACTGCCCCAACACCACCCTCTTCACTCCCAACTCCACCTACCAATCCAACCTCAACGCCCTCCTCTCTTCCCTCTCCTCTGCCGCCACCGACAACGCTGACGGCTTCGCCAATGCCATTGCCGGCCAAAACCCTCCCGACCAGGTCTACGGGATCTTCCTCTGCCGTGGCGATGTCGACGCAGCCACGTGCAGCAACTGTGTGGCCACTGGAAAACAGGATATCCTCCAGAGATGCCCCAACCGGCGAGTCTCCGTGATCTGGTATGACGAGTGTATGTTGAGGTACTCCGATGAGTCCGTCTACTCGGTCATGGAACAAGTGCCTTCTCTCACGATGTACCACACTGGGAACATCACCTATCCAACCCGGTTCATGCAAGTCCTGGGAGAGACCATGGAAACCATCACCGCGAGGGCTTCGGTCCAAAAGTCGGGGAAGAAAGTCGCGGTTGCAGAGGCAAACTTTACGAGCTTGCAGAAGCTGTACACGCTCGCACAGTGCACGCCGGACTTGGTGGTGTCGGAGTGCAACACGTGCCTCCGGGCGGCAATCGCGGGCCTCCCTCAGGGGAAGCAAGGTGGGAGGTTGTTCACTCCGAGCTGCAGCATGAGGTTCGAGCTGTACCAATTTTATAATGCCTCCGCCATGGCGGCCCTGTTGCCTCCGCCGAACTACCTTCCATCTCCTCCTGCTCCCGTGACCAGACGTAAAGGTACGTGTTTGTTTTATTGTTTGTCTTCCGCTATAACAGAAAGATCTGTCCAATTTTTTTTTCGGTGAACTACTTATCTTAATTTATAGTTTAAAAAAGTGGAGTGAACTTCTTTTAAAAAAAATATAGGAAGAAAACATCATAAGTGCTATGATTCTTGTACAGGGTACCGTATATGTTTAACTCATCACTTAAGTATGATAACTTTGAAAGAACATTCAGTTGAGTAATGTCAACGATTTTATTGGCCAGAAAATCTTATGACATGTCAATAAGTTGATATAACATTGTCCGATATGGTTCGCCAGGGAAATGATGTTATCAAAAGCGTGCAAAAACGAGTCATTTAGCCCTTTCTTACCCCAAAATTGATGAATTGGGGCTAAGACCAACTCAAACCCTAATCCTATCCCAAAATTAGGTCCAACAGCGGCCAGTCTTTGTCCTACAAGTGCCGCCAAAGGACATCCTTGGGGTGAAGGCGTCGCTGCTGGTCCTCAAGGCTCGCCACAATGGAAATTCTTTTGATTTGTGGTAACATAGCTTTCTCTTTGTAGGATATACTGGTATTATGTGTATTCACATTGGAGATTTTCTCTTTGAGGCTGCGATCTCAAGTAGCAGCACTCAGGGTCGTGCGGAATACGGTGTGCGATGGGCTTGTGGCGATGTCTTTCATCTCAATTTCTTGAGCAATCAGTTGCTTGTCAATTTGGTGCAATGAAAGGTCAAACGGTGTCCTTTCTACACGCTTTTGATGATAGTACTTACCCAGCGAGTCCCGTTAGATGATTTTATATTAAATTAATGTCACATCAGATTTTAAGACAAGAGAAATTACCGTAGTAACTTAAACGAACATCTTTTAAAATATTATGATAAGGAAAATTATCAATTAAAAAGTTATGGCACGTATAATATCATTTTTCCTATTTTAGATGATGCCTCTTGTTGAGATGAGCCTACGACAATCAACAAGTCGTTTCAAGTTAAACGATAGAAAGAAAGAAAGAAGGGTAGGTGTCAAAGTAACTAAAATGAAAATATAATTCCGCAATAACCTTACTTTGAGCCAAACACAATCATCAAAATTTGTGAAGTATCAACCTCATCCCAAATCTAAGCATTTTGAATATGGAAGAACCAATTCAAGGAGAATAAAAAACTTGAATGATACAGATGATTGTTTTCCTTTCTGTAAGTCCTTAGAAACTTTATATAGCCAAATCTACAATATCACAAACTTGTCTATATATATTTACAACATAATATCATGGGGTTTTAGCTTTGCCAGCTCAGGACGATTATTAAGGGCCATATAGCCAGTCATCACGCTATTCTTGTATACAACAGTAAGAGTGGACACATTGAATTTCAGCAGATGACTACAATTTCCTAACTCCTTAGTGTCTTGATATCCACATTTTCTATAAGGAAAAAAGGGAAAAAAATCCGCAAATGCTTCTATTGGTTAGGAGGATCCAGATATTACCTGCGAAACCATTTTACTATTGCCAAACGAAACACTACTGATCATTAAAAATCTATATCCCAATGGAATGTCGGCATTCTGTGATGCCCAACTGGAAACTACTTTATTCTATAAAATGAACCTATTTGAAGCAAACTCAAAGAGAATCGACACACAATAAGGTTGGTTCACAGGCCCTGCTTTGTAGTAATCCTGTGGAGAAAAGTACATTACAAATGCCATTACTTTCATACACCGCTCACTTTGGTGCAATAACGTTTTAATCAATCACTTGATTATCATATGTCTATAGAAAATGTTCACTTGAATGACTCCAATGATTTCTTTTACCAAAAAATTCGACGTGGAATTAATTAATATAAATCGTTCATTGTGGGTCATTGGAAAAATGATATCATTAAAAGCTTGTAGAAACGTGGTTTAGCCTTTCCTTGCCCCAAATTGATGTCCAATGTGGTTGCTCGGAAAACAAGAAGAAGGACATCGCCACGAGCCTGCTGCACACCCTATTACCCACGGCCCTGAGTGCTACTGGCCTCAAAGGGAAAATCTCCGATATCACATTCAAAATTCCAGTCCAATGCCCATGGGAAGAAAGCTACATTACCACAAATTGGAAGGATTGCCATTGTGGCGACCCTTGAGAATCAGCAGCAGCGCCACATCCAGCGCCTTCGCTGCATGGCATCCTTTTGCGGCACCCACAGGATAAAGACTCGCCACCATTGGACCTAATTTGGGATTAGGGTTTGAGTTGGATTTAGCCTTAATTCGTCGATTTAAGTCAAGGAAATGGCTAAACGCTTAGATGAAATCATTTCCCTAGTGCACCACGTCATATGGTTTTATATTAATTTAAAGTCAAGTCGGATGTTCTAGCAATACTCAAATAAACTTGACGTCTTTTAAAGTAATGGCACTCAAGTGATCGAATTAAAATTTACAACACTAGAGTGAGCATGAAACAAAAGTTATGGCACTGTTCATGTCATTTTCATGATGCCGTGTTTATCTATTTTGATCTACTTATAAGAGGTGAAGTTTCGCAAGGCATTTTGTCACAAATACTTGTTGAATCTGTTCCACATTAGTCCAATGACTCTGCACTTGTGTTCTTTTCTCGTCTTCTCCCTGCTTCAAGCACTTCAAAGCGGCACAATTTACAGCATAACTGCATCAAGTCCACTGGTTCAGAACCAAACCCTTGTCTCTAGTAGTCAAATCTTTGAGCTCGGGTTCTTCACGCCTAATGGATCAGCAAATCAGTACGTAGGAATATGGTACAAGAGCATGGCACCCTCTAAAGTTGTCTGGGTAGCCAACAGGGACAAGCCAATTGGACACACAGATCAATCTGGGAGTTTAATAATTGGCGAAGATGGAAATCTGAAGCTTCTTGATGGGCAACAAAACACTGTGTGGTCTACTAATGTCATGGCAAAGTCGAATTATTCTGTAGCAGTGCTTTCAGACTTTGGAAACCTTGTTCTTCAAGACAGGAATGCGATTATAATGTGGGAAAGCTTTGATGAGCCAACCGACACTCTCCTGCCATACATGAAGATCGGAGTAAACGTGAAAACAGGAAAGAAACGAAACTTGATTTCCTGGAAAGGCGAAGATGATCCCTCGTTTGGACGCTTTGTTGTAGGATTGACACCGGAGACACCACCTCAGCTTTTCACTTGGAATGGATCAAGTCCTTACTGGAGAGGCGGACAGTGGGATAAAACCAAGTTCATCGGAATACCGACCATGGGAGGGGGCGGCTATCATCTCCAGCAAGATAATGACCAGGGAACATCATATTATTCCCTCGATAATTTAAACAACTCCATCTTTGGATATAATTTCATCTCATTTGATGGATCTTTAAAGGCGGTTCATTGGGCCAATGGATGGTCACCATACTGGGAGGCACCGGCACCAATTAACCCTTGTGAAATTTATGGAATATGTGGGCCCTTTGGAGTTTGCAACCCGTTTAGTTCACCTATTTGCAGATGTTTAAAAGGTTTTATACCAACATCAGATGAAGAATGGAACAGAGGAAACTGGACCAGAGGGTGTCTTAGGGAAATGGAATTTAATTGTCAAGAATCCGCAAGTAGAGCTACTTCAATGACTGTCGAAAAAGATATGTTCAGGAAAATGGAACAAATGAAATTGCCTGATTCTGCTGATTTTTTATTGATAGATGATATAGAAGGATGCCAAAGTAGGTGCCTAGAAAATTGCTCGTGCTTGGCCTTTTCTTATGTGAATACAATAGGATGTATGGCTTGGAGTAAAGCCCTCCTAGATACTCAGCAATTCTCCATGAATGGCGAAGATCTATTTATTCGATTTGCGGGTGCGGCTGCGGGTGCGGGTGCCGGTGCAGGTGTGACTACAGGTTGAAAAGGTTGAATTAATATGCCTTTAGTTTTGCACTGCCTATGGTTCTTATAATATATTTTTCCAGGTTCAGGTGTACCTACGCGGACAAAACTTATCATCAGCCTAAGTGTTATTTCTGGCATCATCTTATTTGGAGCTGGTATTTCAGTCTCTGTTCTTTCGAAGTGGAGAGGTAATAAAAGAGGTACGGTTTGTTGTTGTCTTAAGGGTGATTTTGCGCTAACTGATATATAAGAATCTTGAATTAATGGTAAAACCATGGCTTCAGAAGCTAAGCAGTTACTACTATAGAAACACTGCTCTGCTTCTGATGTTGTCATGCTTATCTTGAGTTGATTTCGTTCTATTTGTAAAATGCAGGGAAGTTTAGGAAAATGACAATCCCAAGGCTCTTTAGGTCAGTGGCAGCAGACATCAGATCAAAAGAACAGCTAAGGGAAACTGCATGGAAAGAGCAAATGAAGGAAGATGATGCATCGAAATTGGTGGTTTATGATTTTGATAGCATACGCCTCGCGACAGACAACTTCGATGCAAAAAACAAACTCGGACAGGGAGGGTTTGGCCCGGTTTATAAGGTAAAAGAAAACATTCTCTGAGGGAAATAAAGAGATCATCCAAGATCTGATAGTGCTGTTCGTTTCAAAACAGGGAAAATTGAACGATGGTAAGGAGATAGCAGCGAAGAGACTTTTGAGCAGCTCAGGCCAAGGCATAGCGGAGTTCAAGAATGAGATCCTTCTAATATCCAAACTTCAACACCGAAATCTGGTGAGACTCTTCGGTTGCTGCACCGAAGGAGAAGAAATGATTCTTGTGTATGAGTACTTGCCGAACAAGAGCTTGGACGCCTTCCTTTTTGGTTTGTCTCACTCTTCGAAGAACTTATTTCTGCTTTCAACAAAATTCGGTACTAAAACAAGATATTTCTTCTGTTTGCAACATTTTTTAGATTCAAAAGAGAAGGGAAAGCTTAGCTGGAGCGTACGCTTCCGCGTTATCCAGGGGGTCGCAAGAGGGTTGCTCTACCTCCACTGCGATTCTTGCCTCAGGGTCATACATCGAGATTTGAAAGTGAGCAACATTCTCTTGGATGAAAAGATGAATCCCAAGATTTCTGATTTTGGGCTGGCGCGTTTGTTTGAAGACACTCAAGTTTTGGTAAATACTCACAAAATTGTGGGGACACTGTAAGCTTTCTTACTCACGAGGCAATGCATCACCTTGAAAGCATACTAGCAGTATAAAGCACTCACCTTTCCCTTCATACATGTTCCTGCTGTTGCTTTACTATTACCGAGAAAACTCTACCATGTACATCCAACGGTTCTAATATGTCAGTTCGCTCCGAGGTAAATATAGACCAGCGCCGTAGTGCAAATGCTAAAAGATAAGAGAAATACAGTACACGTCGAGTTGGAAGTTTATCACCCTCCAATTTTCTCACCTCTCATGCAATTGTTCTTTAGTCTATGATTTTTGTTTAAGCTGTACTTCGGGAACCCTCCACTTATGATATTATGTCTGCAGCGGTTATATGTCTCCCGAGTATGCCATGGGTGGGACATTTTCTGAGAAATCCGATGTTTATAGCTTTGGAGTACTGCTATTGGAGATTATCAGCAGCAAGAAGAGCACAAGTTTAGATTACCCCGGGCAGCATCTTAATCTCGTCGCTTACGTAAGTGCAAGATCTAACTTGGAAGTATTATACCTCCATTTCAGTTTCCACCGTAGGTAGTCCTTGAAATAATCTAACAATCGACTAGTTGTTACAGGCTTGGCACTTATGGTGTGAAGGCAGAGGATTGGACTTGATGGATGAAGCCATTGCTGACGCATTTTCGATGTCAGAAGTAATGAGATGCATTCAGGTAGGGCTTCTTTGTACGCAGGACCGCGCCACAGATAGACCAGACATGTTGGCCGTGGTTCTGATGCTGAATGGGGAGTCCAATCTGCCACAGCCGAAGCAACCCGCATTTACAATTGAAAGCTCGCCCACTCAAGAAGTCCAATCGCAAGAAAGAAGCATCCAGTCCAAGAATACCATCACCATTACTACGGTCGAAGGAAGATAAAATTCTCAAATGCATTTTCACTATCAATTCATCTTTCCAAGGATTCAATGTTCATCAAATTAAATGGCTCGAATATGCAATTTCTTATTGCACTTTTATGTGGATATATGATGTAAACATAGAGACTATGGGAATCTGAGCTGCTAGCTCTATGGTAGGATAGTTTTAGGCGTGCGCGGTTGCGCAAAAGTTTTATTTTTTGGTCAGAGGGTCACACAAAAGTTTAGAACGTCTGTTTGCATGGGGATTTCTACCCTTTCTGCATATAAAAGTGTTTTCCCTCTCAACATTTCCAGTTGCATCCATTGCACCGTCTTTTAATTGAATTTAAGTGTCACTTGTCTTTGAAGAGGAAGCCTTAAAGAGGGATAGCTTTTGATAGTTAAATTTTTGCCTAAAAGATCATTCATGCATTTGAAATATTTAGGGATCGAATTCTCTATCAAAATGACAGAATTTGACCCCTATGGAAAGACAGCGATCCTGTACCATCTTGCATTGACATTTCTATCACTACAATTAGAAACTAGGGATATTGTTGTAACGCCCCCACCTCGGGGTCATAAACGTGACGTCCCGTTCATTGTTATCTTTCTTTACACACAAGCGGAAGCATAATTTCGGGACAATCACATTAAAAACAACAGCGGGATTAAGACAAACAGCATCATGAGCAAACCTTATATTTACGGGACACGCAAACGTATTTACAAGCTAACTTAGCCGATTTTAGCCATTTACACACAACAAACGTTATGGCTTGGGTGTCCTAAGCCCACTACTTCGGATTCACAACTCCTAGCTTTCCCCGAACTCCAACAAGGCTCAAACTCCCCCTGTCGTCGCCGTCTGTTCGACCATCCTATGGACCTGAGAGGGAAAAACGGGGGATGAGTCGGGGAGACTCAGCAAGTAAAATTTTACTAACAGGCGAGGACATATCAATCGTCATTACACGAAACATTCTTACCGTACCGGCCTCCGTGGCCGATCAAACAACGACATGCATAGCAAGCATAAAACAAGGATTCCAGGCATGGCTAAGTCACGGTTTACCTCATGTATCGCGCCTCGGTTTCTAATTCGTGTTAGATAACATGCAAAAACACGAAACAAGGCAAACTTGTTATAGAGAACACAACATCGGAACACCAAGAACCGAGAACGGGAAAGCTCGTGATACAACGTATTTCAACGTCATTTCCCGGTAGTAAAATCCCACTTACTCTAATAAAACAGGAACTAAAGGGTAGAGAATGGGCGGGAAAAGCAACGGCCTCGGGTCTCGGACAACTCACGGTATCGACTTTTCTTTTCTCTCTCTCAGGTTTTCTCTCTTGGTTTTCTCTTTCTCTCTCTATCTCGGCACTCTCTCTCTCTCTCTCTCTCTCTCTCTCTCTCTCTCTCTCTCTCTCTCTCTCTCTCTCTCTCGGCCGGTTTGTGTATGTGGGAAAAGTGTGCCAATTTCTCCCTAATGGCTTCTATTTATAGAGGAGCAAGGCTTGAGTTTATGAAGTAAGCGCACGTGTCATCGGGGAGGTGAGGTAAGCGCACGTGTCATCCAAGCATTAATAGCCTAAGTAAAAATCATGATGAAGATGGCCAATTATTTCTTCCTCTCTCTCTCTCTCCTCAAGCTTGGCCGTGACCCTCTCTCTCTCCTCCTTCCTTGCTTCCTCTTGGTCAATACTTGATGGCCAAGACTTCATAAATGGCTTCATAATTGATCATAATGGCTAGTTTGAAAACTATGCCAAGGAATAAATGAGGGTAATGATGATATAGATAAGGTTTGACTTGGTCAAACTTTCTAGGGTTTTCTTAATTTGGCTGATTTCCATCCCAATTTACTCGGATTAAACGGGTCTCGCGAAAATACGCACGTAACGTCCAAATCGAACCCCGCATCATAATAATTCCCAAACTTTTCCCGAGAGTTTTCTCACAAAATAATTCCAATAATACCCTTTTAAAATGGAACTTAGTGTAAAAAGGCCTTCACAATTGCCCAAACTTGGCCCTACAACAATCCAAGCCAAAATAACCCAAATTGGCCTTCTCGGGTGGACTGGGCACACGGCCGGGCCATCGGGCAAATTGGGCGGCCTGACCGGGCCAGTGGCCGACCGTACAGGCGCATGGCCGGGCGCGTGGCCGGGCCGAACGGGCGCCACGCCGGGCCGCACGGGCGACATGCCGAGCGGCTCGCCGGGCCGCACGGGCGACGTGCCTAGTGCTTGGCCGGCCGCATGGGCACCGTGCCGGGTCATACGGGCAAGAGGTCGGTTCACGGCCAAACACGCACATCGGCCCGGGAATGGCACGACGCACGACTCATAGCCACATTTCTTGGACACGGGACAAGATCGGGACCGGATCTTACGGGCACAACTTGTGGCACGAGGGTCGGGCACAATGGCCGGCACACGAACGGGCACGTAGCCGGTCCGTGGCCTGGCTGACGGGCACAACGATCCGTGGCCGATTCGTGACCGGGCCACGTTCGAGTATCAACGATCCATGGTCGACCCTCGGTTGTCATGTAGCCTCATGAAATCTAGCACCCCGGAATTAACTCATGGTCACCCGGGACTAATGCATGGCCGTGCAGTATCACCCGCGATCGATACATGCCGACACCGGACTTATCCACAGTTATCCCGGACCGTTCCACTCACGGCCCTTATGGTCGAAGGGTCATTCCACGGTCATATTACTCTAATCATTGGTGTAGTCAGGAGTCATCCCACTGTCGATCCCTAGGCCAACTCATAGACAATCTTTCGATCGAACCACGACCAACCCTCAGTACACTCGTTCCAATCATGCTGTCCATTCCAATACCGACCCTCAACTCGACTTACCCGCTAATCTACTTATTTCCAGCCCTCGGCTTCCTAGGCCCGAAATCGGGGATGTCACAATTCTCCCCCTCTAATAAAAAATTCGTCCTCGAAATTTAAACACATACATGGTTCCTCGAATAAGTGCGGATACTGCCGCTTCATGATTTCCTCATCTTCCCAGGTAGCTTCCTCTACACCCTGGTGTCGCCATAGGACCTTTACTACGGGAACAGTTTTATTCCTCAACCCTTGCTTTTACGATCCACGATCCGCACCGGCTCCTCAACATAGGACACTCTGCTGTCCAATTCGACTTCGTCGAAATTCAGCACATGTGTCGGATCGGGTTCATACTTTCTCAACATGGAGACATGGAACACGTCATGCACCTGAGCGAGTTTCGGTGGCAGCGCCAACCGATAAGCCAAATTCCCTATTCTCTCTAGAATTTCAAAATGTCCTACGCACCTGGGGCTTAACTTACCTTAGTACCTTTACAACATCCACTGTAATGTGGACTAGCTCTGGACCAGCGACCTTTCCTTCCCCGACCTCGATCTAACACACTAGAGTGCAGCAAGCTTGACCACGATTCCGCTGCGCTACTCTGATAAAATCTTCCTCAAACATAGTTTACTTACTTATAACAATCATGAAGATCACACTTATCATTTCAAGTAACAGTTCCCATCTTACTTTCAATTCAGTACCTAGTTCGGTTTATTCCTTTTCTTACCCGCCATCCTAGAAGCCTGCCAGGAGCCGCACCATATTCAGGTTTTTACCCCCGGTGACCAATCTTGCTAGAAGCCGCACTTTGATCAGGCTTCTTACCCCGGCATCCACTTCCTAGCCAAGAGCCGCTCCTTGATCAGGTCTTGCCCCGTGCGATCACTCCCCGCCCTCATCGGATCGGATTATGTCAAAATTCAACAGCCTTCTCTTGGCTCAACACCGAACTGCAACTTACTAGAGGGGAACCTGCTTGGACTTCTCTTTCGAGGTCGTGGCGTCCTGATGGGACTTTCCTTTTTTTTTCTTAGCGGTCGCAGCTTGGTCCTGAGCACTTATTTTGCTATCAATAGTCTAACAAGACATGCAACAACACAAAAATAGGTCAGTGATCACAAACAAACAGGAGCACTTAACATATTCAACCACAATCAATCATTCACATGCATAGGGGTGTTTCCTAGCTAACTATACAAACTTTAGCGCACCTTATCACTCCAGGTCTTTATTCCCGCTTTGATTTCAGAATCGTTTTCCCAATTCAGTGCACAGTTCGATCATTCTTGCCCTTAGCCATCCTAGAAGCCTGTCAGGAGCCGCTCTATGATCAGGCCCTTCATCCCGGCGCCACTTCTGCCCAGAGGCCGCTCAATGATCAGGCCTCTCACCCCGGCGCCACCTCTGTCAGAAGCCGCTCAATGATAAGGTCGTATGGCCCCGGCGCCACTCCCCGCCCTCGTCGGACTGGCCAATTACAAGCTACCCCGAACTACACCTACTGGAGGGGAAACCTGCTCTGATACCAAATTAATCTGTAACGCCCGTACCTCGGAGTCATAAACGTGACGTCCCGTTCATTGTTATCTTTCTTTACACACAAGCGGAAGCATAATTTCAGAACAATCACATTAAAAACAACAGTGGGATTAAGACAAACAGCATCATGAGCAAACCTTATATTTACAGGACACGCAAACATATTTACAAGCCAACTTAGTCGATTTTAGCCATTTACACACAACAAACGTTATGGCTTGGATGTCCTAAGCCCACTACTTCGGATTCACAGCTCCTAGCTTTCCCCGAACTCCAACATGGCTTAAACTCCCCCTGTCGTCGCCGTCCGTTCGACCATCCTATGGACCTGAGAGGGAAAAACGGGGGATGAGTCGGGGAGACTCGGCAAGTAAAATTTTACTGACAGGCGAGGACATGTCAATCGTCATTACACGAAACATTCTTACCGTACCGGCCTCCGTAGCCGATCAAACAACGACGTGCATAGCAAGCATAAAACAAGGATTCCAGGCATGGTTAAGTCACGGTTTACCTCTTGTATCGCGCCTCGATTTCTAATTCGTGTTAGATAACATGCAAAAACACGAAACAAGGCAAACTTGTTATAGAGAACACAACATCGGAACACCAAGAACCGAGAATGGGAAAGCTAGTGATACAGCGTATTTCAACGTCATTTCCCGGTAGTAAAATCCAACTTACTCTAATAAAGCAGGAACTAAAGGGTAGAGAATGGGCGGGAAAAGCAACGGCCTCGGGTCTCGGACAACTCACGGTATCGACTTTTCTTTTCTCTCTCTCGGGTTTTCTCTCTTGGTTTTCTCTTTCTCTCTCTATCTCGGCACTCTCTCTCTCTCGGCCGGTTTGTGTATGTGGGAAAAGTGTGCCAATTTCTCCCTAATGGCTTCTAT